GTAATTGTAGATAAATGCAAACTTTTAAAATAAACACTTGGCACCAAAATGTTTTATCTGCACGGTCTTTTATATATGTGATTAAGTACAGTACATCGCTATACATTCAAAAACAGCCATGCATGTTTCTTATCTACAAAAAGTCAAGGGTTTTAGAGAACTCGGATATATAAACAAACCCTTTAGTTTACATATGTAGGCCTTCAAAAGTCATGTTTAAACCAATTTTCATTTCACATAGTGGCATGACCTGAAATTTGGTTTGATGCCGAATTGCCCCATGCCAGCTGAATGTTGAAACCCGGCTTGCAGTTGGAGTGTTACTGAAGGGTGAGAGGTGAAGGAGTATAAGCATCAGAAATTGTTTTTGTAGGTTAAAGATATCCTGTGTGTTTCAATATTGGGACTTGTTTGGTGGGAATTGGCCATTAACAAGGAATACTTGCAAAGTGTTCCTTCTGTTCCCCCAAAAAATAAAGATAATTGTAGATTAATACACTTTCAAGGCCGGTACAACCTACTGTTTCACATATTTTAAGTCCCTATTCACCCCAGATGTGTTGGCACCGGTTTTAAATGCAAGGGCATCTAAAAATGAACGGGTGTGAATGGAAGCAGTTCACGCCAGTGTGTTGTGTTGATATGAGCTGCTCTGTGCTAGAAAAAAAAAAGAGGAAGAAGAGGCTCTACTGTTTTTCAGAGCAATGCAACGCACATCAGTGCAAGGCAGAACTAATACCTTATATAGCTTATTATAAAGATAAAAAAAACAAAAAACAAACACACTTGAGTTGAGTCATGTCCACAACACATTTCACTGTGAATGGACCCTAAAGAAATTTTGGGGACAAACTTTAAAATGTTTGAATTGCGGGTCTAAGCTGTCTTTTTACCCACATTAAAGCGGACCATTACCGCCCTTTGACTAAAAATTGCATTAGCATACAGCTCTGCATGCAGATATAAAATAATGCTCATTAGCTAAACAAACATATTTCCATTTTACATAAAATTTATTTTTATTTTCCTGGCCCACTTTGGCACAAATTATGTAATTGTGCCCAAGCGCTGCATCCTGGGAAGGTTACATCAGCAGAGCATTGCTGGGAAATGTCATCTGTGATCCCAGGGAAAGGAATTTTCTTCCAATGAGGTGATGTGCATGGTCACATGTGCCAGAAATCCAGGAAGTAAAGGGAGATCTAGTAACCTGCCCTTAGTAAACATGGCCACTGTCAGAAGATTGGGAAAGAAAAGAGAAATAAGGTATGCAAAGAATACAAAGCCAGCAGTTACCTAGAAGTATGTGTTTGTAGATTGTCATTACTAAACATTTATAAAAAGGTGCGTTTGTTGTTATTTCAAAGAAATGGGTAAAGTTCATATTTAAGGGAAAATTATGGGGAGAGTGAAATTAACTCAGCCCCTTAGTTAGAGCAGACGTGTCACACTGCAGATGTCACACGTCGGCTCTATTGATCGAGAACTGAGCGATCACTTTCCGCTGATTGCTCAGCTACCTTTTAAAATAAAACCAATATTGTCATTTTTTTTATACCTCCCAGGTATACAATATCGACTACTGGAATTACTGATACTTGTAGAAATGCAGAAAACATTAGGTGTTATTTGATAAAATATTCTTCAGTCACTTAAAAAGAAAAAAAAAACAAAGCTGCTGACAGTTATGAAGCATAGGCAATCAGAGTTGTCAGCACATACCTGCAGCAGCCTTCCACATCTCTGGCCATGCCCAAAGGCTAAGCTGTTCTGACCAGGCAAAGCTTTGACACATCATCATAGGTTCCCTGATTTCCACACATTCCTACTGGGCAATGAGGCAGCCCACCAAAGTGATGTGCTAACATTGTGGTGGCAGGAGAGCAGGCAATCTCCAATACTACCCCAAGATGTGCTCCTCTTCCGGGTTGAATGAAGCCCAGAGTGCTGCACAGCTTGTTGTTGAAAACAGCACTGGCCTCATACTGTGCTTGCCGTGTGTACATGCTGAAGCCCCCCTTCATGCTATGTATGACTGCAAGCTCTCTGGAGTACAAGTACAAACTCCTTCATAGCAATGAATGGGACTTCAATCAACACTCCAAATGGAGTACAAAGTCATACAAAGAAATAAATGGAGACCCTGGAAAGCATATGTAGAAGGTGCAAGGCCAGGCCAGGACTATTCTGAAGAAAGGCTGAGCTGCACATTGAAGATCTCAAGTGGGGCAAGTATGTACCCACGAGGAACCCAAAATGGGGGAATAGTGGGACCATAAAGAATAACTTCTCCAAAAGTGATGTTTAAACTCAAATAAAAGTGATCGAACCTTTGAATAACCTGTTTGGAAGAAAATCAGCTTCAGAGTTCCATGTGGGCCAGTCACAGCTGAAAATGGTTGGATATCCCATTCAGCAGAGTTCAATGATTCATTACCACAGGAGCCCAAAACATGTATTGCAGGGATCTTTTAGCATATCTATTACTAAGGCTGCAGGAGGAAAGGCAAGGGGGTCATAGGGGTACTAATTGCACGATAAAAGGGGGAAGCCTCCCTTGCCAATTAGCTCAGCTTTTGATGTAGCTCAGCTTTTTTTGGCACAGCAAAGCTTCAGCTGCTTTCACATTGAATCAGAACAATTTACCGATTGATACTAGAGCTGCAGCTAACGATTATTAAAAAAAAATCGATTAGTTAGCCGATTATTAAGTTCGATTAATCGGATAAAAAATTAAATACATTTTAAAAAATGGCTCCAGTGATGGGACTACTAGTTTGTATTGAGATTGTAGTCCCATCACAGGAGCAAGCTTGGAGCGGTGGAGGTAAAAAGGAAAAAAAAAGTGTGGTGTGCAATATAGTGAAATGAAAAGTGTAGATTTATACAGCAATCAATGCAGAATGGCACAGACTATAGAGGACTCCAAAACCCAGCAATAATACATTATACAGCACAATTTAGAATACCGCCAGCTAAAGAGGAATACAACAAATCCCAGCAATAGTACATTATAGCCGGCAGTATTCTGCATTGCGCTGTATAATGTATTATTGCTGGGTTTTGTAGTCCTCTATAGCGAGTGGTATTCTGCATTGCACCACTGTATAATGTATTATTGCTGGGATTTGTTGTACTCTATAGCTGGTGGTATTCCGCATTGCGCTGTATAATGTATTATTCCTTGATTTGTAGACCTCTATACAGCGCAATGCAGAATACCACCAGCTATATAGGAGTACAACAAATCCCAGCAATACATTATACATACAGTGTATAATGTATTGCTGGGATTTGTACTCTTCTATAGCTGATGGTACGGGTTCATGCTCTGTATAATATACAGCACAATGTACCATCAGCTATAGAGGACTACAAATCCCACTATCCCAGCAATACATTATAGAGCACCATGTGGGGGGGAGAGGAGTGCAGGCTTACCTGAGCAGTCTTCCAGCAACTTGTTTCTGAGATCGGGCCTGTATATCGGCAGCTGTCATCCGCCCACAACTGCTCCTCCTTACCTTCTTCTCCCCGTGTCCCTGTGCCTATCGTGGATTTGGGTGAGCGTGAGGCGGGGAGGAGGTGCGGCGTGTGGAGCGTGGATGCGGCGGGTCTGGCAGCGGCGAGCGTGAGGTGGGGAGGAGGTGTGGCGCGCAGCGTGTGTGGAGCTGTGAACAGGGCCAACCAATGTGAAGCCGATTAATCGATGATTGAAAAAGTTAACAACTTTTTCAATAATCGATTATAATCGATTATGTCGATTAGTTGTTGCAGCCCTAATTGATACTTAATCACAGCTTAGTGCAATGAAAAGTTTTTACAGTTTGTTCCTGAAAGAACAACTTGAAAATATAGAATAGATACTATTGAAGACATATTATTGAGAATGTATTATTTCTACATATCCAGCTAAAATGCAGCTTCCTACTGCTCTGACCTTTTTAAAGCTGAACTCCAGGCAAATATAAAAAACACAAATGAATGCAGCTTTGTGGCCATTAACAAACAATCACATGTATTTTAATGCAATTAGTGTAGATATCAGTCTCAGAGAAGGGGAGGGAGCAGCAGCACAAGTATCCAATTAGGTGTGTTGCTGTGCAAGGAGCATGCTGACAGGAGTGTGCAGAGTAAAAGGTGCTCATACACCTTACAATTATCTGCAGATTTTCTGTGGTCAGATGGAAAAAGTGCAACAGATTGGCCCACGTGGAGATTACTCCATCCACACAGTTTAGTGTAGATGGAGGAATATGTTGCACCTTTTCCATCTGATCATAGAAAATCTGCAGATAATTGTAAGGTGTATGGGCAGCTTTAGAGATAAGCTCATCAGTCTGCTGCTTCTACTTTCACTGACCAGTTAGAGTGGGGGACCTGTAAGTGAAAGAGAATCTGCAGCAGAGAAAGATGAGGTCCCCTCCCTTGCTAGACAGGGCTGTGCTGTGGGCAGAGTTGTGTAGATCTCAGAAATAGGACACAAATACAAATCCTTTGGCAGATAAAACATCTCCCATGTATGTTTTTTCATCTTTGCATTCAGGAGTTTGCCTGGAATTCAGTTTTAAAGTTCAATTAATCGCTGTACAATTTTGGCAGCCGAATTGTTTGCAGTCATATTCATGACATTGCAGCTTCTCAATTAGCTAGTGACATCTCTAAAGTATAGAGCCCAATACTATGTTGCAAGCTTTAGTAATGTCTCTTGCTAACGCAAATCAAACTGGCTCAGCCCACGAATGGATACTTTCATTGTGTTTGTGGGGCCCACCATAAAGACACTTCATGCAGGAGATTTGAATCGGTAAACTGGTGCATGACACCACATTTGGATGATGGTTTTCTTCTTGTGGAAAGAAAAACAAAGCTCAGCAAAGCTGCACATCCACTTAATGACAGGGTATCCATCAACTGTCCATTTCACATAAAGAAACGCTCCATTCAAGCAAGGTGCATAATAGTAGTGAATATACATGTAATTTACCTCTAACCTTACCACAATAAAGGCAATTTATTGATTACATCATGGAGTGTGTGAAGACGAGAATACAACTGAATGGTATTCTTCATTAGGGTGTCAAGTCTCCTTGTGGCACATGTATATAAATATTGGATGGCTTTTGCAAGCATGGTGCTTCATCTGATGACTGAAAAGCATCATCATGGATCTGAGGGATATCTGACTTGCCATCTTCACACACATGGGAGATGCTGCCAACATGGAGGTCAGAGCTGAATGAACTGTTTTCAGGTTTACTTTCTTCAGTCACATCACTGTGACTTATGTCATCTTCTTCATCTAACAGTTCTACCTTGTCCAAATACTGCTGCAGAAGACTGATGTCTTGTTCACTGCTAGAGGTGTCCTTGCTGCTTTCACTGTGCACTTCAACAGCTGTATCTTGGTCTACTGGGCACTGCGGTTCTTGTTGATGGTAATGTCTTACTGTCTCCAGGGTAGATACACTGCCCTCAGTTGAACTCCTTTCAGAGCTACTTATTTCTTGATGAAAGCCATGTTCTACTTTAATGGAATGGAAACCAGAGTCTGGGATGTCAAGGTTTCCATTAACCTTTTCGGGAACAGATGTAGCAGAATCTGATTGCTGTTCCACGACTTTGGATGGACATTCGTGGACACTGGACAACGATTTGTCCAATGTGCTGATGCTCTCAATTTGAGCATTTACTTTGCTCTGCCATTCTTTAAGGGAACGGACCTGAAAATAAGATACTCCAAATTAAATATAGGTATCAATATAGAAGGACAACCGAGACTGAAGAATACATTTCTGTGAAATGCAAAGGTTACAAAATTGTGCCGCTATGGAAAAAACTAAAGAAAAAGAATAAATACATTTCTTTAGGTTTGTATAACCAGTAAAACATGGATCTGCATTACAATTTGCAATGTGCAAAAAGAAACAAAATCCAAAACATCCCAGTTACCAGGTGATAAATATTTAATTTTGTTTGTACACATTAATGCACTATTGTAAACTTTGTTTTATAAGTGGACCTGAACTAGAAAGGTTGAAGATTTGCTATGTTTAGAGGATGTCTAGAAATTATAATTGTGCCTAGTAGTATCTTCTGAAAATACCAGTGAAGATGTGGGGGTGCCTACAGTCTTATCTGTAGTGTGAGGTCACTATACTGCATTGCTGCCTGTGATTGCTAGTCTCACCAAATGTAGAGTGCAATTTGGTGATATCACTACTGTGCTGGAGAGAAATCTGCAATGCATGCATCATCCCGCTTCTTCATTCATTCTGTGGATCTGTGTTTTTTTAACCTTTCTTGCCGCTTCTTGAATATTCCCCCACCAGTAATCAGACCACCAGTCATCAGTGGACAGCTCTGATATGAGGAAGCAAAGTCCGATTCCTCTATCAAGACATCTGTCCATTTCTATTGCATAGTACAAGTCATTGACCAGACCTGAATCTATAGCTCTTCAGCTGTGCCAGTTTGCTCCATAGTGACACTTTACTAAAGGCAAATAGGCTGTTCACATTGTAAAGGAATTTGCACTTTGCATGGGAAGTCTCCCTTTAGCTTGGTGAAATTTCACTTTTCACAGAATACCCAAATCACAAGCAAGAAAAATAATTAAAAAAAACAACAGCATTTTTGCTTCCACATGATTGGGTGATGTAAGTCAGCAGAGCTTCACCTCATTCACTAAACTAAGGGGAAACGTCCCATGCAAAGTGCAAATTCCTTGCCTTTAGAAAATCAACTCTTATATGTCCTAAAATTTGTTACGAGCAAATACATTTTGCCCAGTAGAGTAAGGACTGGCCAGAGAGGGATTACTTGGAAGCAGACGGCCATCTTGATAATGCACTGCAATATATGCATACCAAAAATCTCTGTTTTTATGCAAAGGCCTGTTATAAATATGTAAGGTTGTATAGCAGTGTGCAGAGGGTTAATTCAGGAATGTCACCTCCACACAGAAGCACAGTGCAGAACAAGGCAAGGGTACACAAATTTCATGAATTTCTCAGTCACTGACATCTAGCACAGTTTTGAGCACTCCTTTAAAAGGCCTTAAAGAGAACCTGTCAGAGTGAAAGTATGGGTGCTGACTTGTTTTTGAAACTGCATCCTCATTCTTTCCTTACTTCTTTGTTGCCTGTTGGTCTGGAATATGTACATGTGTATTAGTTGTTCAGCAAAGCAAGAATAAGACAGCAATAGCAGCTCCCACACTTTTTGTCTTGACAGATTTCTTGCAAGTAACTTATGAAAGTATTTTTATTTTTAATAATGTCATACAAACAAAAGGTAAAGGTTTATTATATAGCCTTCATGTAGTAATATTAGTGTGGTAACACACTGCCACATAGTGGTGGAATTGAGGTACTACTTGCATTATTGTACACTGGGCTCATTCACAGATTTGTCGCTTAGAGCTTCATAAAGTTACAAGTAGCTCACTTCATATCTTTATGTATATATTAATGGAAATAGTCCATCAAACACAATTCCATAAAAGTATTTCTATATCAAAAAGATGCTTCTGGGTAAGATGTTATAAAAATATTAGGATGAAAAAAAGCCAGCTGTTATTAATGACCTGGCTTTCATATCACAGCCATGGGCCAGTATTTTTCCACTTCCTTTAAAAAAGATGACAAACGCCGTCCATTCTGCAGTAAGATCACAGCCGCATTATCAACATGTGAGCAGGGTGTTCTTAGATGGACATGTAGTCTTAAATGGACTTTAACCCCCTCATGACCACTGACGTACAGTGTAGGCCACTGCCATCGGGCCTGTTTAAACAGACTCCCAGCGGTTTTGCACCCGGGTCTATGTTTACACTTGTAAAGCCGACTGTCGGCTTTCCATTGGAAGCGATTCTGGTGGCTCAGCTGCCAACAGATCGCTTCTACGGGCCGGTAAACGACCCCCCCACCACCCGTGTTTTCCGGGCTCCGCTGCCCTTCCTACGGGCCCGGGACTGGCTTCTCTGGTGTGTGTGGGGGTGAAGTTGGGGAGGAGATCAGCGTACCTCTGTTTACAGAGCTCCTCCCCGTACTATGAGACCGGGAGCGGCGCAGATTACTTTACTTCCGGTCCCATAGATGGGCTCCTTAAGCCCAGCAATAAGCTATTGAAGTGCGATCTGCACTTAAATAGCTTATTTAGAGTGTCCAAGTGATACTAGGGGTCTTTTGGACCCCAGTATCACCTTAAAGAGGACCTGTGTAAGCCCCCCTATGTGATAGAAATTAAAGTAAAAAAAAAACCCAAAGAGAAAAAACAGTTTTTAAAATTAAGTAGAATAAATGTAAAAATATATATTTTTTTTAAGTTCCCCGGTGAGCACCCGTGTCTTCAGGTAAACACACGTTGGGTGCACCTACGTATGAAAACGAAGATTGCGCTACACATGTTGGATAAACGCCCCACACACCGGAGTGAAAGCAATAATTCTAGGGCCAAAATTTACGCGTGTTTCTAAACCGATCACCTGTGGGGGCTTTTAAAGTGTCGTCTATGGACTTTCTGGGGTACTGAATTTTCTCGGTTTCATGGACGCACACAATTTTTAACCTGGGCATGTTGGGTATCTACTTACTCGTTGTACCCTTGTTGCGCTAATATCGTGCAACAAAAATTTGCAACTGCCGCCATTTTATCATGTAGGGTCTTGGCTTTCAGAAAATATATGTTTGGAGGTTTTAAGTAATTTTCAGGCCTAAAATATGGATAACATGTAAACAAAAAATAAAAAAAAAAGGTGGACATGAAGGGCTTAAGTAAGAGGCAAACCAAATTAAAGCCCAAAGCATTTGTCTTCTGTGGTCATGGCCGTATACGAAATTCTCATGCCAAATTCATGAAAGTCGTGCAACCATTTTCTTGCAATATCGGACACGTCAAATTCAGGTAGTTCTTATGTGTGACATGTTTACACTGTGCCACTATGTTTGCAACAAATTCATAAAAAAATTATCACCATATCGATGATAGGAAAAGTGGGGCAAATAAGACCATGTTGCGTAAGTATTGTGTTGCAGACAAAATTCTGTCTGAGGCAATTCTACAACAGATTCATAAATACTTGACAGACAGTTTTATGAATCTGTCCCATGTTGCAGCATTTGTTGCACAGATGGGAGACAGAGTTCAAATAAGTGTTTATGGCACTCTTTATGAATTCTAGGGATAGTGCTTTGTGAAACCATTACCATTGTTACACTGTTTATTAAAAAGTGACACTAAACTCAGGACTTAAACCTTAAAAATGTATTCAAGTACCCAATATATACAATGCAATATAACTACATTTACAGAACTATTAAGTAAAGGAAACCAGTGTGCCTTGCTGCCACAACAATATAACTATGCTCTTCCTTAAAGTGACATTAAAGGCCAAAAATGTTTCCCCTCCCCCAATGTAAATGTTAGCACTTACCTCAAATGATGTCTCTTTTTCCGATCTTCCTCCTCTTTCCCCATGTTTTCATCTGTCCCTCCAGCGGTGTGACGTCACTCCGATCCAGCGCTGACTGCTCTGTCTCTCCGATCCAGCGGTGTCTGCAGGCGTGTGCACGCGTCCATAGACTTACCTTGCGTCTCTGCTCGTCTCCCGGCCGAGAATCGGAACTGCGCATGCGCGCGCCCCAAGATCCTTTGCGGCCGTACGAGCAGTTCCTGATTCTCGGCGTGGGAACGAGCGGCGGTAACGAGGCAAGTTTAAAAGGATTTTAAGCGTTTTTTTTACACTTGCCTATATCTACTGCATGCTAGCAGTAGATATAGGCAAAAAAAACGAAGGGTTTAGAACCCCTTTAAGGTGACACTAAACTTAGGGGTTAAACCCATATAAATGCATAAAAGTACCTTATCAACAGAAATGTATCTTACCGTATTTGTGTATCACTCAGCTGTAGATCCCCAAATCATCTCTGAATTGGTGCTGACACTGTCCTTCCTTCTGGAGGGGGCGACTTTTGTTACCCATGGTGCCTGTGTGTGTGTTGTAAAGTAGTCACCGCTCCAAGCTCGCTCCCGTGATGGGCTACAATCTCGATACAAATCAGTAACCTAAACGTAAGATTGTAGTCCATCCCTGGAGTGAGCTTGGAGCGGTGACTACTTTACAACACACACACAGGCACCATGGGTAACAAAAGTCGCCCCCTCCAGAAGGAAGGACAGTGTCAGCACCAATTCAGAGATGATTTGAGGATCTACAGCCGAGTGATGCAAAAATAAGAGATACATTTATGCCAGTAGTTAGGTTACTTGAATGTATTTTTAAGATTGAACTCCTGAGTGTAATGTCACTTTAAATGTTTATTCCTACAACAAAGATTTTGTAAATATATTTTAAAAGCTTACAAATGTATAAACTTAAAAAAAACAACAATGAGGCAAAACCATTCTAACTTCCCCTTAAAGAAGAACTATGGGGTTAAGGCTTTTCCCTATAGTTCTCCTTAGGATAACGGGAGGACACAAACTAGCGTCCTCCCCTCACCCTAAGCTCAGTATACTGAGCCGCAGCAGTATACCGCGAGCTACTGCTCGAGGTATACTGAGACGCTGCAGCTGAAGCGGATCCCGACAGCTGACTGACAGCTGGCTCCGCCTATCTAGAGGCAGAGCCAGCTCTACCCGCCCCCTCCCCGTCCGTTCCGCCAGTCAGCGCTGGCGGTGCGGAGCGGGGAGGGGGGAATCAGCCGTGACCGGATCGAGAGGTGAGCGAACGCCGTTATATGTTCGCTCACCTCCCGATCTACTGACCCGACCTGTGACAGTCTCATTGTCACAGGTCGGCTAGAACTATGAGGTGAGTGAAAAGCACTCACCTCATAGTTCTCCTTTGAAACACTGAATGCAATGTCAAAGCTTTCCTAGAACACAAACAGATCATTATCTTAGGCTGCACCTCCATTTCCAGAAACATAGTTATACCTGCTCCCATAGATATTTCACAGCTTCTGTTTGTATAAGTCGTTCCATTTTCTCTTCAGCTTTCTCATTCTTTAGCCTAGAGAACAAAAAAGAATTTCTAACATCAAAACAAGATTAGAGAGCACAGATTATTCGGTGAGCTACAAAAGCTTCATATAGAGAAGGATTTCATTTTTTGATTATTAGAAAGACAAGCTGACCAGTAAAGTAAACCAGTGCCAAGAAATCAAGTAGGATGCCATTGCTACACTGCACTTGTGAAAATGCTGCATGCCGGTTATGTTGATCCAAAGGTTTCAGTCCTTTTTAAAGTTCTACCCATCCTCTTATTTCACATCTACATGCTTGGTCCTGGTTAGTGATTCAAAACCATTAATGCCAAAGACAGTCAGGCAACTAGAATTTTCAGAAGGTTATTAGTAGTAGCCCTCCGTATTTCAACCAGCAGAGATACAGCTGTAGTATGATCAGTATTTGTGTTATAATAGCTAATGCTATTTTCATTTTCTCAGAGTCCATTGAGGGACACAGCTCTGAAGAATTCTGAGACGTTGGGTTATTCAGCTGCCTCCAGGAGCATTGAACATTAGGCAAAAAATGAAAAGCTTGTCACTTTAAGGACATAATCCCTCCCACCAGCCAGTTGTAGCAAGCAGTATGAAAGGAAATAAGGGGAGGGAGCGGAGTCCCTCAAGGATTTTATGGTAAGAACAAAATCCTATTTTTTTATCGTTCTTTGGGGGACACATCTCTAAAGAATTCTGAGACTTAGAAACATTCAAAAGCAGTCTAAAATAGAGGGACAGGCAGTGGCGTAACAATCACCATAGCGACCCAGGCAGCCACTATGGGGCCCAGCCAGGACATTCCTGATGCCCTGCGGGCCGCCTGGGTCACTATGGCATCTCACGCTTCTGGTTGTCACTGGCAGCTGTGAAGAGGAATGTGCCGCTGTTCAGATCACCGACAGTGAACTGTGCAGCGGCGCGTTCCTCCACAGCCGCTGCTGAGTCAGTGAGAGCCAGCAGCGGCGGTGGAGCAGGCTGGACCTGGCAGTGGAGGAGACGGGGGCCCGGGGTTTGATATCAAAGGAGGAGGCGGGGCCCGGCGACGGGGCGGGGCTCATCACAGACAGAGGAGGCGGACGGGTGAGGAGTTTGACCCTGCAGAGCCCACCTTAGAGAGTCTATGGTGGGCTCAGCAGGGTCACCCTCAGATGGGCTGTGTGGGATCTCAATTGGGCTCTGCAAGGGGTGTAACTAGAGATCAGAGGGGCCCCATACAAAATTTTGCTATGGGGCCCTGTGATTTCTAGTTACGCCCCTGGGGACAGGCACCAAAAAAATTGGAAGAACCAGCTCAAATACTCTAACAACCACTTAAGGGAATTTTTCTGCCAAAACTGGGATCAGAAGAGGCAGAAACATCAACTTGATAAAACTTAGCAAAAGTGTGAACAGAAGTTGCAGCCCTGCAATTTAAGTAACAAGCTTGATTCTGAAATGCCCAAGAAGCACCAACTACCCTAGTAGAATGAGCAGAAAGCAGGAAAAGGAGGAACCATATCCCACAACTCATAAGCTTGAATGACAACCTGACGAATCCACTTGGAAATAGCGGATCTAAAACCTGAACAATCTTTTCTAGGACCTTTAGGTAGAACAAATAAAGGATTGGAACCCCTAAAAGGGAGCTGTGGCTAACAGATAAACTCTTATCAGCCCACACAACATCCAAACAATGAAGAGAACTTCCCTTAGCATGAGCAGGAGCTGGACAAAGTGAAGGTAAAACAATGTCTTCATTTAAATGAAAGGCCAAAACAGCCCTCACCTACTTGCTCTTATTTAAGATTTCCTCTTACTTTAATTGACAGTGGTTATCCGGAGAAAGAGAGGTTTATCTTCCCAGCAGGAAACACAGACAATGATAATAACTTGGTAAAGTTCTCACATTCTATCCAAAACTGAAAATGTGGTCAGTCCGTGTAGATTCACAGGTTTGTAACACACATTTACTTTAACTCAAGACTACACTGGATTTTTCACTGTGGACAGTAGTTTTGTATTTTGGGAATCTCACTTTTCACAGTTTAATTTTTATTTTTTTCTAACTGATTTTTTTCTGACAGCACATGATGGAACGGGCTAAAAATACTGAAATATCTTTCCATCTCACGGAGTCTGAGAAACAGAAATCGATTCAAGCTAAATTTAGCCTCATGAGTAAATCTAAAGTTTATTTCCTACTTAAACAAATTTTTGAAGGAACAGTAGGTTTATGACTACTTCTCTGATTACTGTTGCATTCCTGGTTTTGATCTAAAAATAGTAGAAATGTTTCTAAGTTTAGAAAAGACCTGTATACACATATTTAACATTTGTTTATCTGCAGGTAACAGATATATAACCTTCATTTTAGTATGTGTTACGCATACTAAAATGAAGGTTATATATCTATCACCTGTTCCCTGCAGATAAACAAATGTTAAATATGTGTATACAGGTCTTTTCTAAACTTAATAACATTTCTACTATTTTTAGAATGCAGCAAATAATATGTGATATGTTGTGCTCAAAGCTTTGCATCATTTTGTAGCCCTTTTTGTGTCTATCTTTTATACACAAAATGTAGTAATGAGAACTACATGCCAGCTCACAATTTCACAGATGCTTAAGATCAGCGATTAGATATCAAGACATTGGCTGCCTATATGTTCTATATGTAGTTTGACTTTTTTGAGTCAAGCTATTCTAAAAAAAAACATCTATAGTTATCAGGATATGTAGATTATTTTTTTTTTTTTGATGGATGTACCTTTCCTAACAGGTTTGAGTCAGTAGCAGAGATGTGGATAATAATGGTAATGTGAAATTGGGAATAACATTTTTTTAAAGCAGCAGTATGGCCTTACTGAGGTCATACTGCTGCTTCCAAATAATTAAAAAAAGAAGCACCACACAGTTCTAATTCAGAGCAATATTCTATATAAATGTGGAACTCTGAAGCAAAGTCATGGAAAGGGGTCTCTTCTCTAATCAGAGTCCACTCTGCTGCCTTAAGCAGAGAGAACTCCATGGGGAACTTAAATGTAGGCTGTAAAATGCAGACTGTGAAGTCAACGCAGATTACAGTGTATAGCAGATAGCAACATTCGCTCTCCATTATACATCGGCCCCTATGTAACAGTAATGGGTGTGTAGTATGTTCACTGCTAGGTAGGTGCAAAGTTCAATCAATTTTTTATTAAATTGACCTAACCAGTCTGGGGTGCACTTGACCTAGATGTGGTCAAAGGCACAGATATTAGTCAACATGACATCTAGGCAAATAGCATTTTCAGAAAATCAGTGGTGGCAGGTCTCCTTTTAAATTGATGTAATATTGTTTTAGGACAGTAAGGATAAGCACCCTCTTTGAGACTTACCTTATGATTTCTTCACTTAAGAAGACAATATGCTCCTGCATTCTGCTCAGTCTGATTTCATAGTATACTTCCTTGATCTTGGGATTGTATTTCCTTGCGTAGAAGCCCCTCCAGAGTGACTGAAGTTTTGTAGCGGCTTTGTTCATACGATTTAGGTTTTCTGCATTATAGTTCTGAAGGCCAAACGCTTGGCTGTTTTCTCTATTACTGCAATAAGAGTCATCGCTTAGCGGCTTAACATCAGAGGATGTCAAGTTATTAGAGAGGCTTGCTTTTACATTCTCATTTAACAGCACAGGCTGAATAATGGGATCATGTTTCCTTTCCATTTCACATTCTGCCTGTTCGACATATGAACATGTATAGAACTTCTCTGTCTTTTCTTTATTAAATTCCAACAAAGTATCATTGGCATCTACTTCATCTGACAAGCCCAGTACCCTCATTTCTACTGTGGGAGATACGGGGGACAATCCTGGAGCAACAGGCACAAATGTTGATTCAGAGGAAAGGAGGCTACAATTCAATTTGTCCTCATCAGTCTGGATATCTTCCAAATAAAGATTATTATAGTTTGTTGTAGCAGAATGAGCAGGACTAGAGGGAATGTTTCTTGAAGCATAATCTTCATTGCCACTTGTGCCAAGCCAGTTGTCTACTTTTACAGTGGGTTCTAGGAAAGAAATGAAATAGTTCACATTTTATCACAAAAAATAAGAATAAAGGAAAACATTACTAAAACAGTATTCAAATATACGTATGTAAAAGTACACAAATCTGCAAAATGGAATGGAAAGAATATCATGTTATATGCAGAAACAAGTTTGTCAACTATCGAAATATGAAATGGGTGGAGAATGTCTGACGTAGGTATTTAAAACAAGACTTGAAATTTTCAGGAAAAAAAAAAGCTGAACTCTGGAAAAACTACAACAAAAGCAGGTCCATTGATGTAAGGCTTTGGTATCAAGCAAGTGCCACTAGTCAGGAAATGATGAAAGGGAATGATTATTTAAATACTCTAAAAGAAAAAAGGGTGACAAACAGGTTGATCGTCCACTTTATAGATGAACGTTGCCTAAAATGGAAATTATGCTGACAATTAACCGAAAAATCTGTTTGGAGCAGAATATTTCATCACTGTTGGGTTGAATGTTGCTCCTTCCGCTATTAACCGCTTGAAGACCAGGTGTTTAGACCCCCTTCCTGGCCAGGCCATTTTTCAGTATTCAGTGCTGCAGTACTTTGATTGACATCTATTCCGTCATGCAAGAGGAGCGGAGAGGGGACCGCAGGGAGATCGTGTACTGATCTCCCTCTGACCCCGTCAGAGAGGCACAATGCTGGTCCGGGCACAGCGGAAGTCCGGGATCAGCGTGACAACGGGAGGGGGGCGGGGACAGCTCATACAAGCAATCCGTCGGCTCTATAGCCGGCAGATCGCTTGTATGTTAACAGGCATCACTGCCTGTTTTTAAATCATCGCTCAGCCACGCAAGTGGTCATGGCTGAGCGGACGTCTAAGGCTGGGTTCACACCTAGGCGGATTGAATATGCACGTTTTTTGCGCGTTTTTAAACTGCGATTCGCGGTAAAAAAACGTGTGAAAAACGCGCGTTTCTGAGGGATACTTGGCTGTATCCCAATGGAACCGCCCGACCAAAACGCCCCAAAGAAGTACATGTACTTCTTTGGGCATAGGGCGGTTTCCCGCACATTCGTACTCGCGGAAAAACGCTCAAACAGGGAAATGCCATTATTTTCAATGTGCACGGTTCCCATCTGGGCGGTTTTCCGCGAGTACGAATGTGCGGGAAACCGCCCTATGCCCAAAGAAGTACATGTACTTCTTTGGGCATAGGGCGGTTTCCCGCACATTCGTACTCGCGGAAAAACGCTCAAACAGGGAAATGCCATTATTTTCAATGTGCACGGTTCCCATCTGGGCGGTTTTCCGCGAGTACGAAAGCGCGGAAAAACGCCTAGGTGTGAACCCAGCCTAAAGATCTAGAGAGCTGAGCTGATGCCGCTCAGATCTAGAGAGCTCCCGGCCGGCCATTTTTTTACAACGGCCGGCCGGGGGGTAGTTAAACAGTCAGTCTGAGAACCTCATCGCACATGCTATTCAATGGCATTGCGTAGTAACACTACTATGAAGGAAATATAATTTGTCTGCTTACCAAATTCACTAGATCGCTGGAGAGATCGGGTTGGGCTTTGTTGCTCAGTCAAGGAAAATGATCTTCTATTTGGTGTAGAAGAGAGATGGCTTTCATTGCAAATCTGGTGCATTAACTGTCTCTGGTGCAACCTAATAAAAACATAACTATTGGTATCAGTGGTCAAACAAAAAAACAAAAACGGTCATCTACATTTTCTCCCTAATCGGAAAATGCATGTAAAGTAGTCATTTAGGCATGTGATATATTCTTGCAGCGCATATTCAAGAAACAAGTACAAATAATCACTAAAATGATAATATGATTCATTGCTAAACAAGAAGATTATTCAGTTTACCGTATTCCGAGCTTTACAAACTTTAGTTTTACATATTTACATTTACATGAAAACAATTTGAACATATTTACCTTTGTTTGCTTAGTATCTTCTCTAGCTTTGCATCCTCCTGTGTTTTCAGACTATTTGCTGAAGTCAAAGGACACACAGATGCCAGGTATGATGCCAGAGGTACATGTTGGCCTGGCCTGTATAATCTTCCTTTACCCTGACTGTAAAGCCATTCAGCTTTCAGGCTAGGACAAAAAAAAAAAGAAAAAATGATTATATTAAACAAACCCCCCAAAGAACCAGTGGATCTAATGTAATTTAATGTAAATTCCCTTTATTTAAAGAACAAGTACCTATTTCTTGCCAAGAATAAAAAGAAACAATGCTTCGAGTGCCATCATGTCCCTTACTCTAAAGCTACATAAACCCAAACTAAACCCTTTTCCTGTTACACACTGTGTTTCTGTGTGGTAGAGGAGCAGGGCTTTGCTTCCTCTTGTCAGAGCTGTCTCCCTGATAACTGCTGATCTGAAAACTGATGGGAGTAATCAAGCAGCAGGAGAGGTGCAGAAGCACAAACCCACAGAATTAATAAAGGAGAAGCACTGCAGGTCCTCAGGTACAGCTTTCCCTCCAGCAAGAAGAACAGTTATCAGCAACATCATCAAATCTCACTCCAAACCTTACAAGACCAGCAGTCACATGCAGCAGTGCCTTAGTTGATCCAACACTGCTGACATACAACTATGTAGGAGTGGTGCCTTATAGCTGTATATCAGCAGTGTTAGATCAACTAAGATACTGCTGCCTGAAAGTGTCCTGTTATTTTCAGGAGCAATTTAAGGCATTATTTCCAAGGTACTGCTTAGAAAATAACATCTTTAGGTTCAGGTCGACTTAAACAAAAAATGTATATATATATGTATGTATGTATATATATATGTATGTATGTATGTAT